TATGAGGCCAGCATAATTCTAATTCCAAAACCAGAAAAAGACACTACAAAGAAAGAAAACTACAGGCCAATATCCCTGATGAACATAGATGCCAAAATCGTGAACAAAATACTAACAAATCAGATTCAGCAATTCATCAAAAAAATTATTCACCATGACCAAGTGGGATTCATTCCAGGGATGCAAGGCTGGTACAATATTCGCAAATCAATAAATGTGATACACCACATAAACAAAATGAAGAATAAAAACCACATGATCATATCAATAGATGCTGAAAAAGCATTCAACAAAATCCAGCATCCATTTCTGATAAAAACACGCAGCAATGTGGGAATAGAGGGATCATATTGCGACATAATAAAAACCATATATGAAAGACCTACATGCAACATCATACTCAATGGGCAAAAATTAAAGCATTTCCCTTAAGAACAGGAACAGGACAGGGATGTCCACTTTCACCATTCTTATTTAACATAGTACTGGAAGTCTTAGCCACAGCAATCAAACATGAGGAAAAATAAAAGGGATCCAAATAGGAAAGGAGGTAGTGAGACTGTCATTATTTGCAGATGACATAATATTATACATAGAAAACCCTAAAGACTCCATCAAAAATCTACTAGACTTAATAAACGCATTTGACTAAGTAGCAGGATACAAAATTAATGTCAGGAAATCGACGGAATTCGTATACACCAATGATGAACTCAAAGAAAGAGAAACTGAAAAAACAATCTCATTTACCATTGCGGCAAAAAAATTAAGATACCTAGGAATAAACTTAACCAGAGAAGTAAAGGACCTATTTACAGAAAACTATAGGACATTGAAAAAAGAAATAGAGGAAGATATAAAAAAATAAAAAAGTGAAAGCACATACCTTGTTCAAGGATTGGAAGAATTAACATTTTAACATTATTAAAATGTCCAAACTACCCAAAGCAATCTAGAGATTCAATGCAATCCCCTTCAAAATACCAACTAAATACTTCACAGAACTAGAACAAATACATCAAAAGTTCATATAGAACCAAAAAAGACCCCAAATAGCCACAGCAATTTTGAAAAAGAAGGACAAAGTAGGTGGGATCACAATACCAGATATCAGATTATACTACAAAGCGACTGTAATCAAAACAGCCTGGTACTGGCACAAGAACAGGCATATAGACCAGTGGAACAGAACTGAAAACCCAGAAATAGACCCAAGGCAATATGCTCAAATAATGTTTGACAAAGGTGGCAAGAGCATACAGTGGAGTAAAGACAGCCTCTTTAATAAATGGTGTTGGTAAAATTGGACAGCTACATGCAAAAAAATGAAACTAGACCATCAACTTACACCATACACAAAAATAAACTCAAAAAGGATAAAAGAGTTAAATGTGACCCGTGAATCCACAAAAATTCTAGAAGTAAATGTAGGCATCAACATTTCGAACATCATACGCAGCAGAATTCTCACTGATACATCACCTAAGGCAACAGAAACAAAGGAGAAAATGAACACATGAGACTACATCAAACTCAAAAGTTTCTGCACAGCTAAAAAAAAATCATCAAAATGAAAAGCAACCCACTGTATGGGAGAACATCATTGCCAATGATATGTCAGATAAGGGGTTAATTTCCAATGTATATAGAGTGCTCATACAACTCAACAAAAGGAAGACAAAGAACCCAATTAAAAATGGGCAGAAGAACTATATAGACACCTCTCCAAACAGGACATACAAATGGCCAAGAGACATATGAAGAAATGCTCAACATCACTAATCATCAGAGAGATGCAAATTAAAACAACAATGAGGTATCACCTCACACCTGTCAGAATGGCCACCATCAACAAATCATCAAACAACAAGTGTTGGCGAGGGTGTGGAGAAATGGGGACTCTAGTACACTGCTGGTGGGAATGCAGACTGGTGCAACCACTATGGAAAACAATATGGTGTTACCTCAAAAAATTAAACTTTGACCTTCCATTTGACCCAGTGATCCCACTGCTAGGAATATACCCTAAGAAGCCTGAAACACCAATCAGGAAGAATATATGTACCCCCATGTTTATAACAGCACTATTTACAATAGTTAAGATCTGGAAACAGCCCAAGTGTCCATCAGTAGACCAATGGATAAAAAGGCAGTGGTACATATATACAATGGAGTACTGTGCAGCAGTAAGAAAAAAAGATCTCTTATCCTTTGAGACAACATGGACTGACCTGGAGAGTATTATCCTGAGTAAAATAAGCCAAGCAGAAAAAGACAAATACCACATGATCTCACTTATATATGGTATATAGTAAACATAACAGTCTGAGGAATACGGTAGACCTAGAAACATGGATGTAGGGCACCGGCTGACATCCCTCAGAACAGGAGATGGGGTGTGGGAAGAGATGAACCATAAAACTTATATGCATGTATGCATAACAAATGGACATGGACAACAAAGCCAGGGATGGGGCGGGGGGTTAGGGGGTGGGATGGGTAGGAGGGTGTCAATGGGGTAAAAAGGAGAAGCATCTGTAACAAAAAAAAATTAAAATAAATAAATAAATGAATAAATAAATAAACAAATGATTAAAATGTCCATACTACCAAAAGCAATGTATAGATTCAATGCAATCCCCATCAAAATACCGACGACATACTTCACAGAACTAGAACAAATACCTCAAACGTTCATATGGAACCAAAAAAAGACCTAGAATAGCCACAGTAATCTTGAAAAAGAAGAACAAAGTTGGAGGGATAACAATACCAGATTTCAGGTTATACTACAAAGCCATTGTAATCAGAACAGCCTGGTACTAGTTCAAGAACAAGCATATGGACCAGTGGAACAGAACTGAGAACCCACAAATGGACCCAAGGCAATATGCTCAATTAATATTTGACAAAGGTGGCAAGAGCATATATGGAGTAAAGACAGCCTCTTTAATAAATGGTGTTGGGAAAATTGGATAGCTACATGCAAAAAAATAGAACTACACCTTCAATTCACAACGTCCACAAGAATAAACTCAAAATGGATAAAAAGCTTTAATGTGACTCATGAATCCATAAAAATGATAGAAGATAATGTAGGCAACAAAATTTCAGACATCATACGTAGAATTTTCACTGATACATCACCTAAGGCAATGGAAACAAAGAAGAAAATGAGCACAAGGGACTCTATCAAACTCAAAAGCTTCTGCACAGCAAAAGAATCAACCACCAAAATAAAAAGGCAACCCACTCAATGGAAAAGCATAATTGCCAATGATATATCAGATAAGGGGTTAATTTCCAAAATATATAGAGTACTCATACAACTCAACAAAAGGAAGACAAAAAACCCAATTAAAAAATGGACAGAAGAACTAAATGGACACCTCTCCAAACAGGACATACAAATGGCTAAGAGACATATGAAGAAATGGTCAATGTCACTAATCATGAGGGAGATGCAAACTAAAACATTATGAGGTATCACCTCACACCTGTCAGAGTGGCCGCCATCAACTAATCATCAAACAAGTGTTTATTTTTGGAATATAATGAACATAACAGTCTGAGGAATGGGGTAGTCCCAGAGACATGGAAGTGGGGTACAGACTGACAATCCTCAGAAGAGGTGTAGTAATGGGGGAAAGATAAACTACAGAACTTATATGCAAGAACAGTGGACATGGACAACAAAGCTTGGGACAGGGCGGGGAGAGGGGCGAGGGGGGAATCAGTGGGGTAAAAAATAGAAACATCTGTAACAAAAATTAATTAATTAATTAAATTTCTTTTAAAAAGCTACAGTTGAGCCCTGGTCGGTTGGGCTCAGCAGTTAGAGCATCAGCCTGCGGTCCCGAGGGACCCAGGTTCGGTTCCTGCTAAGGGCATGTACCTTGGTTGCAGTTTGTCCCCGGCCCTGGTCGGTCGTGCGGGTGGCAGCCACTCGATGTGTCCCTTTCATGTCGATGTTTCTCTCTCTCTCTCTCTCTCTCTCTCTTCCTCTCTCTCCCTCCCACTCTACCTGAACAAAAAATGTCCTCGGGTGAGGATTAAAAAAAAAAAAAAAAAAAAAGCTACAGTTGAGGGTAAAAAGAAAAAGATGTTAGAATGAATGTTCCTCATAGACAGAAGTGGCTTATTGTACTTCCTTTGTAGATAGTCATTAAAATTATGCAACTATTAAAAACAACAACAACAAGTGTTGGCAAGGGTGTGGAAAAAAGGGGACTCTAGAACACTGCTGGTGGGAATGCAGACTGGTGCAACCACTATGGAAAACAATATGGTGTTACCTCAAAAAATTAAAAATTAAACTGCCATTTGACCCAGTGGCCCCACTCCTAGGAATATACCCTGAGAAGCCTGAAACACCAATCAGAAAGAATATATATACCCCCATGTTCATAGAAGTACTATTTACAATAGCTAAGATCTGGAAACAGCCCAAATGTCCAGCAGTAGACAAATGGATAAAAAGGTTGTGGTACATATACACAATGGAGTACTATGCAGCTGTAAGAAAGAAAGGGCTCTTATCCTTTGAGATGGGACCTGGAAAGTATTATCCTAAGTGAAACAAGTGAAACAGAGAAAGACAAGTATCATATGATCTCACTCATTTGTGGAATATAATGAACATAACAGTCTGAGGAATGGGGTAGTCCCAGAGACGTGGAAGTTGGGTACTGACAATCCCCAGAAGAGGGGGTGGGGGGAAGTGATAAACCACAGAACTTATATGCATGTACACATGAACAATGGACTTGGACAACAAAGCTTGTGTCAGGGTGGGGAGGGAGGGGGAATGCTGAATCAGTGGGGGACAAGGGAGAAACATCTGTAACAAAAATTAATTAATTAATTAAAAATAAGAAGGAAGGAAGGAAGGGAGGGAGGGAGGGAGGGAGGGAGGGAGGGAGGGAGGGAGGGAAAGATCAGCAAAAAAATAAGGTCATTGGATTTTGACATTTATCAAAAAAATGTAATATTTTTATTACCTGATTAGAAGTAGATGAAACTTCTTTACCTAAAAGATAAAAATAAAAGAAAACCAATGTAAGAGTTTTGGACCATCACAGTTTGGGGTGAGGGAAGGTGAAAAGGGTAGAATGTAGTGATAAAACTGTGAAGAGACCCATCTGACATTATGCCTATCACTATAGAGCTGTTCAAGGCTGTAGGACAAGATCAAGTAAAGAGACATGTTCTGAGGCAGCATTAATATGATGGTTCTTGTGTAAATGATACACACCAAAGCTGCTGAAGAACAGATTTTGGAATTGGATAACACAATTTTGTCCATAAACGTGCTATGAAAATAGAGTATGGGAAATATGAAGGAAGAATGATTATAGCTATAACCTTAAGATATAACTTCTATAAAAGTAGCATAGGATAATCATATCATTTTAAAAGAAAGATGAACAGTCATAACAGAGGTACTGAAATAATGAGTAAATTATTCAGACTAAATGCAAATATACAGGCTGTTTGATTATATATATGAATACTGAAGCAATTTATACATATGTTAATCTGATATCCACTACTCATATTTTTAATAAGATAGAATTCAGGAAGTCACAGAATACTAAATATGGCAAAATTCTCAATATATAAGAGGAACATTTACTGGTTCTGAAATCCACAACCCAATAAGCTTGATAGTGATTCTTAGCAAATTCTTAGAATACATTTAACAAATTATGTAAAACAACAATATGTTAATAATTTCTAATAACTCATCATTCTTCTATAATGCTACATATATATCCATAAAATCACATATCTTCATAAATGTAGTCATATGCAATAATTTATAAACAAATGTTTTATTTTAATATTGTTTTATAATTATAAACTGAGAAAATTATTTTGCCTAAAGTATATAATTCAGTTTAGAATTAGAGACAGCAATTTGGAGAACCAAATGTCAGTGAGATAGGCATCAGGAAATCAAAGAACAATGGTCCTGCTATTGGTGCTAAAGATGTTAAAATATTTAGAAACAAGCATAGTTAGTCTCATATTTAAAACATGGAACATGCCATTATGAAGCTAAAGGTAAGTTGAATTAACCTTCTGAATATACTTTACTTCTTATTTGAAGTTAAGACATTGATTGGAAAAACATATATGACCCTTAGAATCAGAATAAGAACAACTGGGAGAAGTTCTGATTAACTCAATTAAACTGAATGCCAACATCCAACAAGTATCTCTTGTTAGATGAGGTAACCTCTCTGGTCTTTAATAATGAGACTCTAACTTTATTGACTGGAAAGAAAAGACTCCATATCTTTGTCTTTTACAGTTTCCAGAGATTTCCCTCATTCCTTGGATCATGACCCCTCTATCTTCAATGCCAGTGACCTAAAACCAGCAATGGTAGTTCAAATTCTTCTCCCACCACACCAATCTGGCACTGTCTCTTTTGATTCTATCTTCCACCTTGTAAGGATCTTTGTGTTTACTCTGTGGGTGCTCACTTGGATAATCCAGGATACTCTACCCACCTTAATAGTCTTAATTTAATTACATCTGCAAAGTCCCTTTTGCCATATTTTTTCAGAAAAAGCAGATTAAAACTCCTTTTGGGGTCTTTATTCTTCCTTGTACACCTGCACACATGTACTCCTTGTTATTTTTTATCCTCACCAAGGATATATTTTTTATTGATTTTAGAGAGCTAGGTCGGGAGAGAGAGAAACATTGATCAGTTGCTGTACATGCCCCAATCAGGGATCAAACCCCAAACCTAGACATGTGCCCTGACCAGGAATTGAGCCCATAACATTTTGGTGTATGGGATGATGCTCCAACCAACTAAGCCACTTGGCCAGGACATGTATTACTTATTATTTTAAAAATATAAAAATATCTAAAGATTTAAGAGTATAAGAATATAAAAGCAAATCTATTAATGTAGCCTTATTATCCTTCTGACAGTATCCCGTAAAATGGCCTAAAATCCTTCCTTTTCCCAAGTCCATGAGATAATACATTAGTGAGTACAATGTTTTCTAAAATGCTAATTTAACTTGCTATTTGTTTTTAAATAAATCTGGTAGCCCTATTATGATTTCTAAGACCTTAGTAGATTTACAATGTCTTCTCTGCAATTCAACTCAATAATTGTGACTGAACTGCAACGCATGGTACCAGGAATTGTTAAAAGTAGCAAATCTTCCAAAGTATGAGATTCTGGTCTTAGTCAAATCACCTGGTTTGATTTAGAGGCAGAAAGAATGCCATGTATTAAAATATGGGAACAAGTGATCCACAGCATATATGGCAGAAAGGTTTACTAACGTTTACTTGTAGTCACCTGAATGGAAGATGCCAGCCTAAATGACTACTCCAATAGATCATTAAAAAGGAATAATAAATGAAGAAACTAAGCTATGATCTGATTGCTTCTGGAGCATATTATATAATCATTACTTTAAACTTTTAATTCAATGAATCAGGCATTGTTCTAATAAATAGACATTGACTTTTTAAATATAATTTTCACAACCACAATCTAAAGTTGTAGTATTTTTTAAAATTTTAAGACAATTTTCTATATGAAGAAAGCAAAATTTAAGGACTATAGTAACTTGTGTCAAAGTTGATATATTATATCTATAACAAAGACCATTGATAAAACCCACAATGCAGAAATGACACAGAAATTGATAATAATGCAATAAATTTAGAACTTTAAAACTAAAAATGTAAAACAATGCTTGAAATTAAAAACTACTCAGATCCAAGAAGAAATAAAAAGCAACATAACAAAATATTGAACGATAATAGTATTTCCTTTAACAATAAGTAAGTTACAGATAAAATATTATTTAGACCCAGCCGATGTGACTCCGTGGTTCAGCGTTGACCCATATGCCAAGAGACTGCTGGTTCAATTCTCAGCAGGGCACATGCCCAAGTTGTTGGCCAAATCCCCAGTGTGGGGCATGCAGGAGGCAGCCAACTGATGTTCTCACTCATCAATGTTTCTATCTCTCTCTCCCTCTCCCTTCCTCTCTCTCTCTAAAATCAATAAAGAAAAAACTTAAAAAAAATATTATTTAGAGGAAAGGTTATATCATTGTACCAATGTCTGCTTGGAATAAGCACTCCACAAATATGAACTAGCATTACATTAATTATGCTCCATAGGTTTTTGAAAATTACAATGTAATTTTTGTTGAAGGATCATAATTTTGAAATTCATTTACTAGAAAAACTTGATTTGTTATGTATTTCAGCTAACCAAAGGACCAAAGACATTGTTCTGAAATAATCCACTAATTAGAGTGGAAGGAAAATGTTTTCCTGTGTCTCTCTAATGGGCTAAAAGGGTCCATAAACACATCCTGCAAATTTCATCACAACTTGAAAACTTGTGTGAAATAGATTTGTTGACCAACTGGGAGCACCATCACATTGATTCTCCTAACCTGCTCTTGTGACTTGATCCAAATGGAATGTAAATAAACAAATCAACAGCAATATAGCTTCCCTAATGAAATCAGAAAGTTATTTATTTGACTATAAAAAAAGATACAAAACTGTTATTTTAATCACTTTCCATTTAATTTCCTTTTTTGACCTGTGTAAAGAATAGCTAGGTCTTTGATATTTTCACAAATTTAATGAGATAGTGACTTAAATTTCACTTACTGTTGCAGTTGAGGTCTGTTTACTTGACTAAAGTAATACAAAAGCAGATTTCTAGCATGCATTGATTTCATTGGAGGGAAACCAGTGCAGCTGTGGTGGTGTATCTCAGGGCTTTATCAATTTCTGTTTCTCTGTCGAAATCTGCTTTACAGGAATGTTGATCATGTCATATATCCACAGGACATGATAACGATCTACTACATAGAGTACATAAGGCTGATGGGTGCTGGTGACGGGAAGGAGTGGGTACCCTAGGTTACTACAAACACATATCATGTCTAAGAAAAATAAAGAAGACTGCATCTCAGTGAAGTTTTCTGGGGGTTAGTAGTCTGAATTATTTCAGAATAACCTCATCCAAATCACTTTATATCTCCTATTTCTATAAAAGCAACAAATATTTGGTAAGCCTCTTAGAAGTTATGTGAATCATATATCAGTTGAAGTTGAGCCCAGAGACAGAGAGACTCTCCTGTGATAGAGGATTTATAAAATACAAATTTGGTTCCATAAAAATAATAAAATTAATGAATTCTAGTAAAACTGATTAGTCAAATAATAGATGGAAAGATTCAAATTCACAGAGAGAAATAATATATTTATTTATTCATTATTATTTTTGTTACAGATGTTTCTCCTTTTTCACCCATTGACACCCTCCTTCCAATCCTGTCCCCCTCCCCCAGCATTGTTGTCTATGTCCATTGATTACGAATACATGCATATAAGTTCTGTGGCTTATCTCTTCCCTCCCCACTGTCTCCCTCCTTTGAGGTTTGTCAGTCTGCACCCCACTTCCATTCTCTGGGCCTCTTTTCTTCATCAGCTTGTATTGTTCATTGTATTTCACAAATAAGTGAGACCACATGATATTTGTCTTTCTCTGATTGGCTTATTTGGCTTAGCATTATACTCTCCAGGACCCTCCATGTTGTCTCAAAGGATAAGAGATCTTTCTCTCTTACAGCTGAATAGTATTCCATGGTGTATATATACCACAGCTTTTTTATCCACTCATCTATTGATGGGTATTGGGGCTATTTCCAGATCTTAGCAATTGTAAATAGTGCTGCTATGAACATAGGGGTACATATATTCTTTCTGATTGGTGTTTCAGGCTTCTTAGGATATATTTCTAGAAGAGGGATCACTGGGTCAAATGGCAGTTCAATTTTTAATGTTTTAAGGAAACACCATATTGTTTTCCATAGTGGTTGCACCAGTCTGCATTTTCACCAGCAGTGTGCTAGACTTATCTTTTCTCTACACCCTCGCCAGCACTTGCTGTTTGATGATTTGTGGATGGCAGCCATTCTGACAGGTGTGAGGTGATACCTCATTGTTGTTTTAATTTGCATC